GGTCTTAGACGTTTACCACCTCAGTAAAACCCACGAGCACGGGTATGGTGCTGACAAACCTAGAAACATAATCGGGGTGAACCGGGATTCGAACCCACAATCATAGGTTTCTGGCGTGCCCAAGGGACGCAACTCTGCACAGCGAATCGCGGCGCCTTAGACGACACGTTTACCTGTCCGTGCTTTGTGGTTAGGGATTGCTGACCGACGCACCGTGTGACATGACACCTGCCAGGCATGTATTACAGCCCATGCTTGCCGTTAAAGGCGACTAACGGGATCGGGTGGTTAGAAAAATGTACAGATGAATGGAAACTTACAGCGAATGTAGATAAAACAAATGTGGTTGTGTTTAGGAGAGGTGGTCAACTCGCTGAGTCCGAAAACTGGTTTTACAAAAACACCCAAGTTAGTCTTGCAGATGAATATAAAAAACCTTGGCATTTTATTTACTTAGACTTTGAATTTAGGAAAAACTGTCCACAATTTAGCTGTAAGGGCCAAGAAATCAATGGTCATGTTACTTACCACTGTATCTAAATTAGAACCTGTTCGACCTAGAGTTTATTTTAAGGTATTTGATGCCCAAATACAGTCTATCTTTTTTATACGGCTCAGAACTTTGGGGTTTTAAAAATTATGTACCTATAGAGAAAATACATTTATATGCATGTAAAACGTTTTTGAAGACAGGAATAAACACTCCAATCTGTATGGTTTATGGCGAATGTGGAAGATATACGATGTACATTAATGCATATATCCGTTGTTTAAAATATTGGTTTAAAATTCTAGAAATGCACGAAGACCGCCTGCCTAGAAAAGCATACACAATGCTACTTAATCTGGACAATCATGGGTACACAACACGGGCATCAAATAGTCGTTACATGCTATTTTATCACGGTTTCGGTTATGTGTGTTTGTATCAAGGTGTCGGTAATAAACATGATTTTTGAAGATTATTCCACAGAAAGTCACTAGATATGTTTCAGCAGGATTGGAGATCGACACTCGAAAATAGTTCAAGATATGTCATATATAGATCTTTTAAATCGTTGATTGAACCTGAATTGTATTTAAATGTTATAACACACAAATCTCTTCGCATAACATATTTAAGATTTCGTCTCGGATTATCTGAAATAATGGTTATTATTGGACGACATCGTTCTGTCCCGAAGCCAATGAGATTGTGTCCTTCCGCAAACTTGTATAGAGGTTGAACTTCATATACTGCTTGTTTGTACTGTTTATACTAATTTAAGGGAAGCATATATTCCACAGAAATACATGCGTTTATCAAATTTGTATTCGTGTAAATCTCTGTTGAATTCTAATGATAGAAACACAATTCTAAGGTTAGCACTTTTTGTTCATCATGCACTTTCTCGGCGCAAGAATCTTATAATATCGTGAAGTCACTTCGTAAAATAATTGTGTACTTTCACTTTGTAACATTGTCTCCACATATGTATTGTATGCAGCACATCCCTTTAGCTGTGTTGTACTCACGGTTATTATCCCTTGTACTCTTGTTTTGTATATGGGCCGGAGGCCTTAAGGTTCTACTACACTAAATCAGAACTGGTTGTGACAGTGCGGTTTTCGTAGGGAGCCTTCAGTACAGATCAAGAGACATATGCAGGCTGTGATTGGATGATATTGTATAAGTTTTTTATGTCTTTTAAATGCACATCCATCCAGTAATTAAAACTGCCTATATTTTTCAATATTTGGTGCTGACTTTTTGAACAAGATGACTTGTGCTTTATGTGAGCACAGATATTTTCAAGCAGGTGATATTTGGTGCGGAACTGGGGTTGGTGTGTTCAGCTTCCTGTACTCGGAAAAGGAGCTGGGTGACCTAGCCAAAATTTGTGTTTTTATTGCAGCTTTAAGGCCAGACTGTGCACATATGTAAATGTAATGGCTGTTGAATGCCTAGTTATTTTTTAAAAAGCTATAACGTTACTATAGAAGTCTATGGGAAAACATTTGGTTGTGTGTAACCTGTAGTACAATAAAACCTCTTGAACTTGAACTTGGACTCGCTGACTTGGTTGATGCATGTCATCGATCCCAACTGCGTGGATCGATGCTCATGATATCAATCACTGGATTGTCTGGTCCAGACTTGGTTATTTACAGACCGCCGTCATATAGCTGGAATATTGCTATGTGCAGCGTTAAACAATAAATAAACAAACAGAGCAGACATTGCCGGATTTACATAAATTCAGTACAGTTTCAGCACATTAACAGTTACATTGCATGAGCTGCGCATCACATATCAGTGGCGTTTACTACATGGGTTTCAGAGAAACAATGTCATCGAACAGTAGTTGATAGGAATGTTGCTGAACGAGAGATCCAGTATTGTATTTTACGTGTGAGTGAGTAGGTTTCATTTAACACCACAATGAAACATTTTTTAATTATGTCACATGTGTCTGAAATGATAAATGTCTTAGCAACCCACGAGCGCGGTGCTGATGCTGCCATAATCATATATCGAACTTGTTGTTTCAACTGTTTCAAACTCGTCGATAAATACCATATTACATATACCGAATTAAATGAAAAAAGTTTATTCTGTGTGTAAATATTGAGGATCGTTAACGAAAACGGAAGGTCCTTGTGCATTCGAATCCGTAGGTGAGTAAGTGAGTGAGTCATTGTACGGTGGATCGGGCGGTCATTGTACGGGGGATCGGGTGGTCATTGTAAGGTGGATTGGGTGGTCATTGTACGGGGGATCGGGTGGCTATTGTAAGGTGGATCGGGTGGTAACTGTACCAGGGATCGGTTGGTCACTGTACCAGGGATCGGGCTGTCATTGTACGGGGGATCAGGTGGTCATTGTACCGGGGATCGGGTGGTCATTGTAAGGTGGATCGGGTGGTCATTGTACGGGGGATTGGGTGGTTATTGTACGGGGGATCGTGCGGCCATCGTAAGGTGGATCGGGTGGCCATTGTACGGGTGATCGGGTGGTCACTGTACCGGGGATCGGGTGGTCATTGTACGGTGGATCGCGCGGCCATCGTAAGGTGGATCGGGTGGTCATTGTACGGGGGATCGGGTGGTCATTGTACGGGGGATCGGGTGGTCATTGTACGGGGTATTGGGTGGTTATTGTACCGGGGATCGTGCGGTCATTGTAATGTGGATCGGGTGGGCATTGTACGGGGGATTGGGTGGTCATTGTACCGGGGATCGGGTGGTCATTGTAAGGTGGATCGGGTGGTCATTGTACAAGGGATCGGGTGGTCATTGTAGGTGGATCGGATGGTCATTGTAATGTGGATCGGGTGGGCATTGTACGGGGGATTGGGTGGTCATTGTACCGGGGATCGGGTGGTCATTGTAAGGTGGATAGGGTGGTCAATGTAAGGTGGATCGGGTGGTCATTGTAAGGTGGATTGGGTGGTCATTGTACGGGGGATCGGGTGGCTATTGTAAGGTGGATCGGGTGGTAACTGTACCAGGGATCGGTTGGTCACTGTACCAGGGATCGGGCTGTCATTGTACGGGGGATCAGGTGGTCATTGTACCGGGGATCGGGTGGTCATTGTAAGGTGGATCGGGTGGTCATTGTACGGGGGATTGGGTGGTTATTGTACGGGGGATCGTGCGGCCATCGTAAGGTGGATCGGGTGGCCATTGTACGGGTGATCGGGTGGTCACTGTACCGGGGATCGGGTGGTCATTGTACGGTGGATCGCGCGGCCATCGTAAGGTGGATCGGGTGGCCATTGTACGGGTGATCGGGTGGTCACTGTACCGGGGATTGGGTGGTTATTGTACGGGGGATCGTGCGGCCATCGTAAGGTGGATCGGGTGGCCATTGTACGGGTGATCGGGTGGTCACTGTACCGGGGATCGGGTGGTCATTGTACGGGAGATCGGGTGGTCATTGTACGGGGGATCGGGTGGTCATTGTACGGGGTATTGGGTGGTTATTGTACCGGGGATCGTGCGGTCATTGTAATGTGGATCGGGTGGGCATTGTACGGGGGATTGGGTGGTCATTGTACCGGGGATCGGGTGGTCATTGTAAGGTGGATCGGGTGGTCATTGTACAAGGGATCGGGTGGTCATTGTAGGTGGATCGGATGGTCATTGTAATGTGGATCGGATGGTCATTGTACGGGGGATCGGGTGGTCATTGTACCGGGGATCGGGTGGTCATTGTAAGGTGGATCGGGTGGTCATTGCACGGGGGATCGGGTGGTCATTGTACCGGGGATCGCGTGGTCATTGTAAGGTGGATCTGGTCGTCATTGTAAGGTGGATCGGGTGGCCATTGTACGGGGGATCGGGTGGTCACTGTACCGGCGAACGGGTGGTGATTGTACCGGGGATCGGGTGGTCATTGTACCGGGGATCGGGTGGTCATTGTAAGGTGGATTGGGTGGTCATTGTACGGGGGATCGGGTGGTCACTGTACCGGGGATCGGGTGGTTATTGTACGATCCTGCTATCAAACATCTCAAGCCGCACTGAAAGGGTTGTAATATTGCTCACTGCTGCGCAAACAAAAGAGTTTTAAAAACAGACTTAGAGTCAGTGATCCGGCTTCTTAACAATTGAACCGCGGTGTAGGTTAATACGCGTGCGTACATGCAGTGGATTAATGCCCCGGAGGTGCTTAGTACATCCTTAATGCATGCAGTGGATTTATACCCCGGAGTAGGTAAGTACATCCTTCATGCATGCAGTGGATTTATGTCCCGGAGTAGGTTAGTACATCCTTCATGCATGCAGTGGATTTATGCCCTGGTGTTGGTTAGTACATCCTTAATGCATGCAGTGGACTTATGCCCCGGAGGTGGTTAGTACATCCTTCATGCATGCAGTGGATTTATGCCCCGGAGGTGGTTAGTACATCCTTCATGCATGCAGTGGATTTATGCCCTGGTGTTGGTTAGTACATCCTTAATGCATGCAGTGGAAATATGCCTTTGAACCTAGCACTTGATTAGTACGTTCATGCATCATGCAGCGGAATTCAAACCCATACTCACACCCCGATGACAAGCAGTTACATTAGTCGTAGTCGTCGTAGTTGTCGTAGTTGTCGTCCTGGGCGTCATCAACGACGTCTCCTCCTCTCGCTTACCTTCAACGATGCCGGAGGGGAAGTTCTGGTCGCTCGATGTCTTTGGGAACAGAACTAACGCGACATATATTCCAAAACCTGAAGAGAGATTATATCACAAGTCAATGTCCACTCAAAAACAAACCTGACGTCGGAGCACTTGCCATGCTCTAACATTGGTTTCGCACTATTGTAATAGTGACATTATTACCGATAATTTAAACATTGTGTGAGATCAGGGCCATGGCTCCAAAGAGATATAGCGTCTACATAGTCCCACTCCTTTTGTATCGGTTACTTGATACAAGTGTATCCCCGGCCGCGTCATACGGAAAGACGTTAAAAGATGGTACTTGTTGTTACCCTGTCTGGCGCTCGGCATTAAAAGGGGCAACTCTCTTCCCCCCCCCCCCCCCCCCCCTCCCTCTCTCTCTCTCTCTCTCTCTCTCAAATTTTGTTATTGACATACCGAGAGTAACAAGGATGGTGTACCCAACGACCCCCGTGACGTCAACCGCCGCTACCAATAGCACGAAGTTGATGACGATGGAGAGGATTGGTAGATACGGCACCAGCGGCATCTGTTTAAAGAAGATTGAAGAGTGGGTGACTGAGTAGGCTGAAGTCAGCAGTGATGCAGTTACGTACTTCAGGTCACCTGTGACGCATGCGCATTGACGCCGTTCAAATCGCCAGTGGCGTAGGTCAGGTCAGCAGTGACGCATGCGCAGTGACGCGGGTCTCGACACCAGTGACGCAGTGACGCAGTGACGCAGGCCGTTGACATTTACCGCTTTGGTGAAACACGTGTATTGTAATCATGGGTTGTATGGGGTACTGAAGAACTATTCTAAGTCGGATCTTCACAGGTACCGCGTTAATATAATTAAACACGAAGACATGTAATTAACTCGAGATTTAGTTTGGGGCGAAAATCGGACAAACTGCTCTTCTGATGTTAATTTCAAAGGCCGTCCTTCTTAACAGACCTAGGGTCATTCTCGCGTCAAGGCCATTGGACAAAAGACTGCCTACAATGGTATTTTGTGTTCAGCATTTGTAAATAAATAAAACGTCATGTGTAATCACACTTAACCGTTTACATTGACCTTGTATAGGTGATAAAACTAGGTTTCAGTGGTAGGCACAGAGGTGTTTCCAATCCATTTAATTAAAAAACTTCAAACAATATGGTATACAAGGACAAGAGAAACCAACATTAAATCTAATCTACTTTTCATTAAGGGATATGTACATTTACCTATACGTCCTTGATCCAAACATACTTTATTGGTTGGTTGGTTGGTTTAACGCCGCAGAAATATTCAAGCTATATTACGGCGGTCTGTAAATAATCGAGTCTAGACCAGACAATCCAGTGATGGATATCATCAGCATCGATCCATGCAATTGGGATTGGCATGCATCAACCAAGTCAGCGAACCCGACCACCCGATCCCGTTAGTCGCCTCTTACGACAAGCATAGTCGCCTTTTACGGCAAGCATGGGTTGCCGAAGACCTATTCTACCCCGGATACGGGTCACGTACTATAATGACAACCCCGATATATATAAAGCAGAACATGGTCAAAACGGAGGACATTTTTACTGAATTCAATCGTGTGAAGTACTTACGCTGAAGCCGTTGTGTTTCGCCGACCCTTTTTGTGTCGCCATCAGCACCGATAGGAAAACCAGTAACCCCAGGAGAAGTCCTAAACACACAAACGCCAACACGTTCCTGTGAAGGAGATCGTCAATACCACCAACAAGCTGTAGTCCTAGACCCAGAGACGTGAACACTACAAGATATACCAAATTCTGCAATCCTATCCTGTCCGCCAAACCTCTGAAACCTGATCGAGGTTCCCTTCGTGGTCCATCACTGGACAGAAGGGAGCGTTCGTCCATTTTAACATTTCCATTCTCTTCATTTCCTGAACTTGAACTCGGTTCCTCGCGTCTACTGAGTAACAGAATACCGTTTGATATAACAAAACTTAGAAATATAGATATAACGTTAAAGCTGACAAGGTTCGAAATGTCGAAGAGAAGGGCAAATATAGACACAAGGAGGCCCATGACCACGGCTGCTCTGACTGGAACCTTGGTAGTTCTGTTCACACTGAGGAAGGCCTTCAAGAACAGTCCGTCACTGGACATGCAGTATACATGTCTTGATAGGCTATATAAGTTCAAGATATTTAGATTGCTGATGCCTAGAGTCGGGCCTATGCTGACGACGTATTTCGCCCACTCGAGGTGCTTGTAGGCGAATGCGGACGGAAGTGGAGCCCGGGTGTCAATTTGTGAGTAGGGCACAAGGAGGATGAGGCCGCAGGACGATCCTACGTATAGCAGTGTTACAATAAGTAATTCTGAGAATATTGCTCTTGGGATGGATTTCCCCGGAGTCTTGCACTCTTCAGCTGACATGCAAATAATGTCGAATCCCTGAAATGCGTAGAAACATGCTGCAGTCCCTGCCATCACACCACCGATGCCAAACGGCAAGAATCCTCCATGTTCAGTGTTACTGATGTTGCTGTAGTCGCCTACAACCAACCCCATAACGGTGACAAACAGCAGCACACATACTGACACACACGCCAACACTGTGCTGATGAAAGCGGAAGCTTGGACACCAAGGGAGATAATTATTATGACCACAATCTCGTATGCGCATGCCAGGAAGTCCAGATTTTCGCTAAATGGCGGCCCGAGTGTGACCTTGCCAAGGTAGTGGTCTGTGGTTTCGTGGATGTAGTTGTTGAAGAGCGAGTCGAGATAGCCGCTCCAGGCTCTAGCTGCAATGGCGCCACTTGTGAGAAAACCTACAAGACAACACTATTTATATATAGTCTGGAAGTTTTATAAATGTATGTGAAGTGAGCCACTGATCACCAGTACGTTTCGGTACAATGCACATTTCATTACAGTTCACAGTTCCACTGCTTGAGCTCAGCGTCAGGTTTGTGTCGCGTTTACTGCATGTGTTTCAAAGTGTCATCGTTCAGGACTTGACAGGACGACACCACATGTACAATATGTCACGGCATCTACGAAATTTTGGTTTAATGCCGCTTTGAACGGTCTCCAAATTATAAGTTACGTCCACAACCGATGAAACCCATGAGATCGGACATGGAGTCGACATACTAATTTGGGCAGTTCGGAATTCGGTTTCTGGCGTATCTAAGGGACGTAACTCTGCACTTGGCAACCCCGCCACCCCTGCTCCGACCCCAAACCTGAGAGCATGCTATACACATACGTGTATGGACCTACCCACAAGGGGGCGGTGGGGTGGCCTAGTGGTAAAAGCGTCCACCCGTCACGCCGAAGACCCGCGTTCGATTCCAAACATGAGTACAATGTGTGAAGCCCCTTTGTGTGTTCCCCGCTGTGATATTGCTGGAATATTGCTAAAAGCGGCGTATAACCTCTCTCACTCATTCACTCACTCACCTACCAACAAGAGCTATCCAGCCGACAAGGAAGGCGAGCAGTTCACATGCACTCTCATACACGTAGGTGTATGTGGCGCCAGTCTTGGGTATCCTTGCGCCGAACTCCGCGAAGCAAATGGCGTTTATGACAGTTACTATGCCGGCCATGAGGAAGGACAGTAGCACCCCAGGTCCTGGTGATAAAGAAGACATAGTGTTCAGTTCGTGAGTCATATAAACTGTACAGATAATTGTAAAATCATCACCCACAAAAATTAACAAACTCCATTCCACTGTACAAGCTGATTGGATATTACAAACACAGTAAGTGTCCGTATATATTTCACAACACTCTACAGTGTCATGGCTTTCGTGTTAATAAATACTTTACAATTTTCACAAAATGTTGCAGATGGATGGAGAATGTAATTAACTTAGGAACACTTCAGAAGTGTAATTGTATGCTAACAGTACAGTCACGTGGAAGTACTATTGGTGCATGGACAGTAGGATGGACAATCTGTGAGCAGTTTAATTGTAACAGATTAGTAGAACGATTTGAGCGTTGATCGTAATATTTAGAAAATGAATAAATAAAATTATTACTGTTCTGGTTTCTGGTGAAGTAAACATGGCATATCGAAAGAACTGTGGATGATGATGGGATTGTGCGGTGAAAGATCACCCAAAGATGACCCAAGGAGGACCAAAGGATGACCCAGGGGTGACTTGCCTTTGCATGTGTTAGTGACGGGTGCCTCCTGGGGGACAGGATACGCTCCCCAATTAACGAACACCTAACATCACTAGTTGATAGTGATTCATAAACACATGCTTATATTATGACATAGACGGAATCGCACAATGGATTCTCTTTTGGTAGAAACTTCTTATAGAAAGGTTGTTGTCGCCTCTATTAAGAAGTCAAAACAGCAGTTTATATGCGTTGCCACGCAGACTAAGATGGCATTATCAAATTAAGCTAACATCACATAACATCAGAGCCACTAAGCCGGTAAGTATAGCCATTTCTAACGATATGCTGGACCTAAACGAAAAACCGTCCCACCTGCATATTCCTTTGCTGCCACGCCCACCAGTACATATATGCCCACCCCCACCGTGGAGCCCACACCCATGAAGGTCAGGTGGGTGGTGGTGAGACATCGCTTCAACTCCGTGCTGCGATCGTGCTCCGAGATTATCATCTTCTTCTTCATCCGAGTCCATAGGAGCCGCAGAGAGTCCTTCGCGCCCATCATTGTTGACGTAGGCTCGCACTTTACCTTCTCATCCTGTGTTCAGATATATAAAATGAGTGAGTGAGTATGGTTTCCCGCTGCTTTTAGCAATATTCCAGCAATATCACGGCGGGGGACACCAGAAATGGGCTTCACATTGTACCCATGTCGGGAATCGAACCCGGGACCTCGGCGAGACGAGCGAAGGCTTTAACCACTAGGCTACCCGACCGCCCCCGATATATAAAGATATATGCCAATAATGATTTTGTAGCTGTAGCTGTAGCTGTAGATAAAATAAAGATCTAATTTCAACAAAATCCTAAGTCGAAAACGTCAAGGCAACCGTGGCCATCATGGCAACCAAAATATATTGTATATATATTGTTGGGTAAAACAGTAGTATTGCCACATGTTGCACAATGCAAACATAACAGAAAATAATACTAAATGAACTAGCAGTGCGTGAGATTACAGGACAATGCTCAATGTATTTGCACCAAATGAAACGTCAATACACCAATTTTCCTTGGCTGAGTCAGGGAGACCACAGAGTTCAAAACGTTCCAAATCAGTCAGCCATTATTGATAACAAAGTGCACAGCAACACATGTTGATGATGTTGGCTGTGTGGTCTCTGGGTAGTCCGGCTTCTATTTCACTGAATCATGTTCCAGCAGCGGGCAGGACGACTGCCACGAGATGATGTCGCCAGTCACAGGAACTCACAGAGTAAGTGTTGGGGCATTCCTTGCCACGTGGACACCATCGAGTCAGGACAAAACAACAGTCAATGGTAGCATGAGTGAGTGAGTGAGTGAGTGAGTTGGGTTTTACGCCGCTTTTAACATTATTCCAGTTATATCACGGCGTGTCAGCTTAATGTGGGAGGAAAGCCCGAAGTGATGCAGGTCTCAGACGTTTACCACTTCGGTGAAACCCACGAGCACGGGTATGGTGCTGACAAACCTAGAACATAATCGGGGTGAACCGGGATTCGAACGCACAATCATAGGTTTCTGGTGTGCCCAAGGGACGCAACTCTGCACAGCGAATCGCGGCGTCTTAGACGACTGGGCCACCAATGTCCCCCTCGGGTAGCATGAGTAACTATCAACGCCACGCGGGGATACGCAGTCAGAAGAGACATTGTAACTATCAACGCCACGCGGGGATACGCAGTCAGAAGAGACACTGTAACTATCAACGCCACGCGGGGATACGCAGTCAGAAGAGACATTGTAACTATCAACGCCACGCGGGGATACGCAGTCAGAAGAGACACTGTAACCATCCGATCCACATTTTATCTCGCTGTTTGATAAATATGAGATAGTATACGTATTATGTACCATAGGTAATGACAGTTCTGGACCACTTCCACTGGAGCCAGATTTAGATACCTATACCACTACAACAGAGGGAATTTTTAAAAAGAATATGCAAAAATGATGATGCAATTCAACGATCGTCATGATTCGTATAAAAAAGATACATCAATATTAATTAATAATGGATCAAATTTACCATAGCCAACGACGATATTTGAAAGGTATAGGAGCAATACAAAAATTAGCCACCGCGGCTGAGGTATCTAAAGATGTGGCCAAGGATTGGCTAAAGAACTGTCATTGTCTATACTACTCCCGAGATTCCTCTAGATCTATGCGTTAAATGAGAACCAGTAAAATGCTTGATATGTTTTATTAAATAGGTGTTATTTTGACTAGTTGATAAAACATTATTTTTTTAAAATTCCACAATATTTTACACTGAAATATTTCATTCATATAAATAAGAAAAGTATTACCTTCATGTGTTCCGGAATGTAAACGTGGACATTGATGTTGTAAAGCGTAAATATCGGACTTATTGAACTTAAACCCTTAGTCTGTGTGACCATGAACACAAATGACAGTTTGTGTGACTATAATACTCCTAACAGCAGTTTAAGGAGAATAGCTTGCCAACACGTGGCCCTAAACTACAACATGATCAACATGTATAGTGATGTCGATAGGCATTCACCTAACGAGGTAACAAGGGATGATATGTAGTTGTTGAATGATGCTGTGTTCAGTTTTCCTCCCGGGGGAGTTCATGATCAGATACACAAACATACGGGCAGTACCAGATACAGCTAATACGTTATTGCCAGATGGCACAGCAATATAGACGCTTGTGGTATGTGAAATACAGAACAGAACGATAACAGTAGTACATGATTTAAAGGTGAAACAATTATTCAGTGCAGAATATATAGGGATTCTCTAACGTTTCCCGAATAGCTCTCCTGTTTAAAACGTTCGCTCGTCACACCTGAGGCCCGGGTTCGGAGCCCGGTACTAAATCGTCACACAACGGCACAAAGGCACTCACTCGTCACACAACACCACAACGGCACTCACTCGGCACACAACACAACGGCACTCACTCGCCACATAACACTACAACGGCACTCGCTCGCAACACAACTCCACAACGGTACTCACTCGCCACACAACACCACAAAGATACTCACTCACCACACAACACCTCAAGGGTACTCACTCGACACACAACACCACAACGACGCTCACTCACCACACAATACCACAACGGCACTCGCTCGCCCCATAACTCGACAACGGCACTCACTCGCCACACAACACCTCAACGGTACTCACTCGCCAGACAACACCACAACGACACTCGCTCGCCACACAATACAACGACACTCGCTCGCCACACAACATCTCAACGGTACTCACTCGCCACACAACACCACAACGATACTCACTCACCACACAATACCACAACGGTACTCACTCGCCACACAACACCACAACGGCACTCACTCGCCACACAACACCACAACGATACTCACTCACCACACAATACCACAACGGTACTCACTCGCAACGAAACACCACAACGGCACTCACTCGCCATACAACACCACAACGGCACTCACTCGCCACACAACACCACGACGGCACTCACTCACCACACAACACCACAACGGTACTCACTCACCACACAACACCACAACGGTACTCACTCGCCACACAACACCTCAACGGCACTCACTCGCCACACAACACCTCAACGGTACTAACTCGCCACACAACATCTCAACGACACTCACTCACCACACAACACCACAACGGTACTCACTCGCCACACAACACTACAACGACACTCGCTCGCCACACAACACAACGACACTCACTCGCCACACAACGGCACAAAGGCACCCACTCGCCACACAACACTAAAACTGCACTCACTCGCCACACAACACTACAACGGCACTCACGCGCCACACAACATTAAAACGGCACTCACTTGCCACACAACACCACAACGACACTCACCACACAACGGCACAAAGGCACTTGATCGCCACACAACACTACAACGTCACTCGCCACACAACCCCAAAACGACACTGGCTCGCCACACAACGGCACAAAGGCACCCACTCGCCACACAACGGCACAACGACACTCACTCGCCACACAACGGCTTGTAATACGAATAAAAGATGTACATGCATTACATTGTTTACTATCGCACACATAGCTGCACTAGACAGGTGTGTATACTGTAAATAAATGTGTTTAGGATGTAAACACATACAAGACATATTTAGATCTAAACATGCTCAATATTGTGTTTCAATCTTAAACGGAATACACATTTGGGATTTTCTATCTAAACGCATTTAAATCTAAACACATGAAAAATGAGCTATCGTCTCGCAACTTAAACACCACCTAAACACAACACCCCATCATCTAAACATGTTCAGATTTTAAACATGTTAAAACGTGTTTAGCTTTTGAACGTTTCAACATGTTTAGATTCTAATTAGGCTTGAAGTTTGGACATGTTTAGAATCTTAACACGTTTAAACATGTTTCGAATTTAAACCTGTTTAAATAATTGCATATTATTTGGCAATGAGTCAAATAAGGATAAGATGTATATTATATACTGAAATAAGATGTTCAAATCAGATTCACTTGCATAATACATATACCACTAGGACTTTCAACGAACTTGGTACAATATTGTCATAATAATGTACAACCTAACCAAAATCAAATCAAAACACTTGTGTCAATTTTTGCAACAGCCTCCGCAGCACAGATGGTAGCGTGACGGAATACAGATGAAGAGGTTGCAGGTTCCCTGATGCATTACTACGATAAACCAGTATCGTCTTTTAGATAATACGCCCTCTCTCTCTCTCTCTCTCTCTCTCTCTCTCTCTCTCTCTCTCTCTCTCTCTCTCTCTCTCTCTGTCTTTGTCTCTGTCTGTCTCTCTCTGTGTGTCTCTGTCTGTCTCTCTCTCTGTGTCTCTGTGTCTCCGTCTCTCTCTCTCTGTGTCTCTGACTGTCTTTCTCTCTCTGTCTCTCTCTATCTTTTGATCCTTACAAAGCGCATCAACACCTGACTTGCGTCGTCAACCTCATAACTCCGTATAACCATGATGGAACTGAGCAATTTGAATAAATGTTTGTATGTGATTGTTGTTTAACGCCACACTCAGCAATATTCCAGCTATATGACGGTGGTCTGTATATAAATAATCGAGTCTGGACCAGACAATCCAGTGATTGGCATCATCAGCATCGTTCCACGCAATAGGGATTGATGATATGTATCAACCAAGTCAGCGAGCCTGACAACCTAATCCCTTTAGTCGCCTCTTACGACAAGTATAGGTTGCTGAAGACCAAATTTAACTGGGATCTACACGGGACGAGATGATGATGCTTAAGTCAATGTAATTCTCGCGTATCAACTTAATATCCTCAGTATCACTAGCAGATTTGGACACACACGTCTCTCTGTGTGTGTCTTTCTCTCTCTCTCTCTCTCTCTCTCTCTCTCTCCCTCTCTCTCTCTCTCTCTCTCTCCGAAGGTTTATAATTGGATCATTTAACGACACTGACCTTGACCTCGGACATTCCTAGATGTTTAAGGTAACTCCTTTGATGTGAGGAAAAGCAGGTTTTGTTAACGGCATAACAAAGGTAAGGCGTGTAGCGACAGATG